GAGAGGTTTCAATTCAAGATTTGGTGACTTGTCACTTGATGAGAGTGGCTTTGTGCCACTTGGTGAAAGTCCCTTAAATTTGGGGGCCTATGTATTAACAGCATGAGTTGGGTAATTCTTTGGATCATCATCTATTGTTTCAGATGTGATGGACTCTGACAAAGAAAGTTCAGTGAAATTTTCACAGAATGTGTTGTTCAGATGGTCCTGGACTAAAGACTCAATGGAATTTATTTCTCTTTCTTTTTGTCCTCTCCTGGGTGTTTGGCAACATTAAAATATTCAGCTCAAGAGTCATATTTCCAAAGGTTAATTTCATGACCCCATTCCTGCAATTGATTAGTGCATTTGAAGTTGCTAGGAAGGGTCGACCAAGAATAACGGAATTGGATTCTCTGAATGTTTTGCTGGCTGAGTATCTAAGACGATGAAGTCAACAGGGAATACAAAGTTGTCCACTTGGACAAGTACATCTTCAACAATACCCCTAGAAATTTTGATAGTCCTGTCTGCCAACTGAAGTGTGACACTTGTGGGTTTGAGTTCTCTCAGACCCAATTGTTGGTAAACAGAGAATGGGAGCAAATTGACACTTGTTCCAAGGTTTAGCAGTGCTTGTTCGATTTTGAAATTTCCAATGACACACGACACAGTCGGACACCTGGATCTTTGTATTTTTGAGGGATTTTGTGTTGAAGCAAAACACTGGCATGTTCTGTCAAGAAGGCTTTTTTTTGAACATTCTGGCTTCTCTTGACTGTGCACAAGTCTTTCAGAAACTTGGCATAAGATGGAACCCGTTTGATTGCATCCAGAAGTGGGATGTTGATTTTTACTTGCTTGAAGAGCTCGTAAATTTTTGGTGATTATTCAACTTTTGTGCAGTTTTGAGTCTATGAGGAAAAGGAGCAGGAATAGAACATGAGGGTTCTTCTTCCCGTGATGGTTCTAGTTCTTGTTCAATCATGGGCTCGGGTTCCTGTTCTCTCACAAGTTCAGGCTCAGTTGATTCAGGTTCGATTGGTGAGTTGATTGGGATGGATTTTGGCTTTGGAATTATCTTGTCTCGGATGGTCTTGTCAATCACCTTGCCACTTCTTAGTGTAGTGACAACTTGGGCTTGACCTTGTGGATTTTCCATGGTTGAAGGATTTCCCACCTAAAATTGGCCTTGTGGTGGTTTTAGTTGGGCAGGAAACTTGCCCTTCTCATGTGTGGTCATGGGTTGGGTCAATTTTTGGATGTGACTTTTAAGATCCTCGAATGATTGAGTGGTCTGGGTTTTGGAATTCATGAAAGCCTGAGTGGAACTATGGTTGTAGTTCATTTGGCTCTGTATGAACTGATTCAGTGTATCCTCAAGGTTCCTCTTTTGTGGTCGTTGGTATGGTTGGTATGCCGGAGGTCCTTGAGGTGGTGGGGTGTGATCCTTATTGTTGGTTCATGGGAGTTGGTTGTGTGTTCCTCCAACTGAAGTTTTGGTGTTTCTGCCACCTTGGATTGTATGTTTCAGAGTATGGGTTGGAGTAAGGCTTGTTGAAATTAGAGACAACATTTGTTTGCTCTAACAAAACCTCTTTGAATGCTAGAATTATAGGACACTCCCCAGTAGGGTGTCCTGTCAGCGCACAAATCCCACACACTTGTTCGGTGGAAAAGCTGACATCAACTTCATGAACCTTTTTCATCTCTAAAGCTTCAAGCTTTCGAGATAGGGTGGACATTTTTGCTCTTAGGTCATCATCCTCTTTCAAGACATACTTACCCCCTTGGGAAGTAGATGGTTTGGTTTCAACAATGGTAGGGGAGGCTAAGTCCCATATCTGAGAACTGTCAGATATGGTATTGAAAAAATTGAATGCATCCTCCGGACTCTTGCTCATAAACTCTCCTTGAGCCATCATTTCAACAAACTGACGTAGTCTAGTGGGCAAGGAGTCATAGAAAAATTCTACCAAGGTCCAATTCTCAAAAGCATGGTGTGGGCAAGACTGGAGTAGATCCTTGAATCTCTCCCAACTTTGGTAAAAGGTTTCTCCTTCTTTGACCGAAAAATTTATGATTTGCCTTTTCAATGCATTAGTGCGGTGTAGAGGAAAAAACTTTCTAAAAAATTCATTTTGTAATGCCCGCCAGTCAGGTATTAAAAGTGCTTTTAAAGAATTTAGCCATTGTTTAGCTTTATCCCTTAAGGAAAAAGGGAAAAGTTTCATCTTGGCCAGTTCAGAATTGTCTTGAAAAGTTCCACATACTTTCTCAAAATCTTTTATATGCATATATGGGTTTTCTGTCTCGAGTCCATGAAACTGAGGGAGTAGTTTAACTATCCCCGTCTTTATAGTAAAGAGGGGTGCATCTTCAGGAAAAATAAAACAAGAGGGGACACTATTCCTTGTGGGATTTAAGTATTCCCTCAGAGTTCGAATGTTAGGTACTTCCCTCTCTCTTACAGGAATTTCCTCTTGTCTCTCACTATTTGCCATTTTACTTTCACAAGAGTCTGCAACTGATGTAGGTTAAAGTGGTTCAGATTGATTTACAAATCCAGAAGATTCAGCTGGCAAATTTTGACAGTGAGGATCATTTTCAGACATAAAAGTAATTACAACAACTTTTTATACAGTAAATCAAATTTATACAATAAAAATGAGGTCTTTTTACCTTTTACTGTAAAACACCTTTTATGGTTCCCCAGCAACGGCGCCAAAAAACTTGACTTGATTCGAAATGTATACACCCAAGTGCAGGCGATAAAGTTGTAGTAATAATCCAGTGAAGTCTAGAGTTGAATCCACAGAGAATTATGATTGGTTTTTTGAAGTAAGCAATAATAAAGACCAAGTAACTTGGAAATTTTGAGTGTTTGGAGTGGTGGGGTTTTCTTGAATAGAATAGAAGATTCTTTTCAAGAATTTTCTAGACAAAATATAAGATTCTCATAATGTAACAATCATCCTTTTGCTCAAGGATCAAGACATGTAATAGAGTATCCATTTTATTATGTTTGTGCTTTATAACTCAATTAACTCCCATGTCAACAACAAGTTAATTGGAAGATAAAGATGGACTGTGAGAATTAAGCACATGATTCCGATGCCTTTCTAGAAGTTTACAAGAATTGTTTGTGCTGAGACTTAACCCATCTACAAACAAGCAAGTGTTTCTACAAGGCATCCAACCATGGCATTAATGATCCATTCTTTGAATAAAGTGCAATGATGGTGGGGATTGAAAGGTTGTCATAAAGAGCTAGTCGGGGTACTTGCATTAAACCAACAGGTCTTTCTATGCAGGAGTCATCTGTATCACAGATGGAACCCTTGGTTATACAAAGTACCTCAACTTTGCTAGGTACATTCAATTGCCCAATGAACAGGTGGAGTATAAACCATTAAAGCATGAAGAAGTTGCACAAACATAACTTTCGGATAATCCTTACATATTCATCACCTTTTACTAAAGAGTGAATGAGGAACTACTCATTTTTCATAGCCTTGGCAAAGCTAGAAAAGTGAGTGTTACTCATCCCTCTAAGTTGAGAAGCTATTAAGTAAAGAAAACTATACAAAGAGCTTTTCTTCAATGAAGAATAAGTGAATCACTTTCCACCCTTCACGGCTTTGGTAAAGCTCTAGAAAAGTGGAAGAGTTTCACTCTTCTAAGAAATGAGGATGCTCAAGCAATGGTAGTGAAATACATGAACAATAAAAGTAGAAGAAAGCTAGTTACTTTTGGAGGGTTTCCACCATAACCAAAAGATGAACTACCTCTCTTGATACTTTGTAAATAAAAGCAAGTACAACTACAAGGGGAGTCTAAGCCTCCATTATGGTTGTCACAACATGAATGTAAAGACTTAGCATAAGTAAATGAAAGACTTCAACTACAAGGGGAGTCTAAGCCTCCATCATGGTTGATATAAATGTAAAATGAAAACATAAACATGAAATGTTCAAGAAATAGATTACTAAAACAATCTTTACTTTGCAAGAACAAAGATTGCTCCCCCTTTTCTCTACAAGAGGAAGAATGCCTTTTAAGCTCCCAACATGGGAGTATTTATAAGCAAGGAAAGGGAGGGGGTAGGAGATAAGAGAGGATGAGTGAATAGTATTTGCCACTCATGGAAATCAACTATTCTGCAGGCAGTCTGCACAGGACGTTCGAACGTGAGATGACGTTCGAACGTTGTCTGTGTCTTTGCTTTGAGGGCGTTCAAATGCTAGATGGGGTCTGATTCCTTCCACTCAAGTGGCCTATGGTCAGTGACTTGGTCACTTCCACACGTCTTAAACAACCTTGACTTTATACTTAGCAACTTGGTCCTCAGTCACTCAAGACAACGTTTGAACGTGGAGTGATGTTCGAACGTTGTACTCAAGTACTTCTGGTTCTTCTTTCTTTACTATAACATGCCAGGTTCCAGTGGTGTAGTCTTCTCAGGATTCCAGAGGATGTTCAAAAGTGATTTGGCATTCGAACGTGGTACTCAAGTACCTCAGCATTTTCCCTTTGTTGACTACAACACGTCATGTCTCAGCAGTTGGTCTTGGTAGGGTTTCAGAGGACGTTTGAATGTGGGTTGACGTTCGAACGTTCTTGCTTTGTTCCAACCTTCTGCAATTTTGTTCCTATTGTGGTGGTGTTACATTCAAGTGTGATTTTTGTTGTTCTTGAGCCTTTGTTCACTTTAGAACCTGAAATGTCATTACTTAAACTCCATCAAAGCACAATTAGTCCAAAAAGGCATAGTAAAAATTGTTAACTTTATGCACGAATCAGCTCCCAATATTATTTATAGGGAATCTGCTACTGCTGTATGGAATGATCTAGGTGATCATTTTTCTCCTAGCAATGGGCCTTGGATTTTTCACTTACAATGTGTTATTGCCATTCAAAACCAAGGGAATGATTCTATTGTTGTCTATTTTAACAAATTGAAGGGATTTTGGAATGAAGTCTCAACTTATCTTTCATCACCCTGCTATTCATGTGAGGCCATGAAAGGTCATAACAACTATCTCCATCAACAACAAATGATTCAGTTTCATATGGGTCTTCATGAGACTTATGCTTCACTTCGTATTCAAATACTTTTAATGGATTCCCTTCCACCAATTAGCAAGGCAAACGTTCTTGTCTTACAAGATGAAACTCAACGTGATCAAATTGCAATGGTCATTCCTTCTAATGATAGCAGTGCTTTTGCTGCTCGTATCTCTGCTACTTCTGTGGCTCCACATTCTGCTCATTCTATATCAAATAAATCTCAACAAGATTTTGGTCTTTGTTGACTTGATTCAAAATTTGTACACCCAAGTGCAGGTGGTCAAGTTGTAGTTATAATGCAGTTAAGTCCAGAGTCGAATCCACAGTGAACTAATGTTGGTGTTTTGAAGTAAATAGTGACAGAGACTAGAGTTACTAGAACCTTTGAGATTTGAAGTTATGATGATTATAGGATTTCCTAGTAGAATATAAGATTCTCTCAAATGAAAGAGTCACCCTTTAGCTCAAGGATCTGGACATGTAGTCAATCATCCAGTTGTTATATTTGTGTTTGACAACTCAATTAACCCCTATGTCAATAGCAAGTTAATTGGAGGATAAAGATGGACTGTGAAAATTAAGAGCATTGTTCTGATGTCTTTGAAGAGATTTACAAGAATTGTCAGTGCTGGGACTCAACCCATCTACAAACAAGCAAGTAATTCTACAAATCATCCAATCACTGCGATATTATTCCATTCTTAGTTAAAGCACAATAATAATGAAGATTGAAATGTTCTCATGAAGATCTAGCTTGCGTACTTGCAAAGAACCAATGAATCCACCTATGCCAAGAGATAACTTGTCTTAGAAAGGACTCATGATTGTACAAAGTACCTTAGCTTTGTGATGAGTGGGTTTTATACCTACGAATTGAATACTTTCGGTTTAATGAAATTGCAAGTTTTCAATTATTTTATGTTCATTTTTATTCGTTTTGTGTGTTTTGATGTTATTTTGTAGGAATGACCATTTGAGAGGAAACAAGGTCAAAATTGGAGCCTAAGTGTTGCATTTTTGAAGAGGAAGCTAAAGGGCATTTTAATGGAGTATTTATAGCATACCATTTTGTAGCAGTACCTCGGTTTTCTGCCTTTTTGACCATGATACACTTCGAATATGAAACCATTCAAAACATGAAAGTTGTAGATCAGGATGTATTCTATATTGTGTCAAAATTTCAGCTCAAGCAGATAGTTGTATCAAAAGTTATGATGATTCTACGAAGACTAGTCCGGAGCAGGCAGAATACAAGTAGGCGCGCCCCAGCGCCAATTTGGGCGCTGGGCATTCTGTCCATACAGCGCTTTTCCATTGCCATCCAAGCACCTAGGTGCTTGTGTTAGCTCGTGACGCGAATTTTACCTTGTTTTTGACCTGAAGTTGGACTCTAAAGCTACATATATGCTAGGGTTTGTGTGGGGATGAAATATTTTGACTTTTGAGGGCTGAAAACATTGGAGAAAGACCAAGAAAATTGAAGACAAGAATCGAAGAAATCAACACGAAGAAGATTGGTCTTGAAGGCTAGAGAAGGATTGAAGATTGCACCTAAGTTTTCATTCTTTTCTCTTACTTTTACTTTTTGTTTTTCTAAGATGTTGTTTAATTTTAGAATGATGTCGTTCAATTACATTATGAACTAAATTTTTATTAAGATTGCAACGGAACCTTTAGTAAACAATATATGTCATTGTTGCCTATTGCTCTTTTTATCTTTTTTGTGTGTGTGTGTGTGTGTTTTTTGGGAGGGGGGAGGGGGCATATTGGCAGGTTTGTTGGGGTGGGTAAAATGCTGCAGGTTTTATTGTCAAATTACAAACTAATAAAAGAACCCAAAAATATTTTTTTTTTTCCTTTTTTGTGAGGCAACCACCTTCCCTACAAATCTTAGTGACGACAAATGTAAGGGATATTGGGCTGTCATCTTGGGGGATTTTCTTAAGAAATATTTATGGCTGACCAGATGAGCTTAAAATGCTGTAAAACCCACTACAAGGAGTTTTTTCCATAATGCTCAATTCACAGCACAGAAAATCAGGTCTAAACTAATTCAACGAATGAAGTTAGCCTCAACTACAGTTACAGATTAGGAATATCATCGAACGGGTTTTGGGCATCATTGCATCCAAATATATATGAATGTAAAGATAAACTAAACTATCTGAAAACACAAAGAAAGGAAGAAAAAAATATATACCAAGTGAAGTACGAACACAGACTTAGCATTTCCTTCTCACCTAATATTCAATTTACTTTAATCTCCACCCAAATAAAAGAAAACAAAGAAGATTAATACATGTACCCAAAGCTTAATACATGTACCCAAAGCTTAACCCTTTCATCAAAGATTAACGATTAATCAAAGAAAACAAAGAAGACCCAAAGCTTCAACCAACCTCCAAAAATTGAACAAACAAAGAAGAAAGAAGATAAAAGAAGAAGAAACCCCCCATTGAACCTGGGCTAAGCTTGGTGAGATTGGTGAAAGGGTGCTGAGCGAAAGAGAGGGGGAGAGGGAGGTTCCTGGCTGAGGCGAAGGGGTTTTTGTTATGTCTAAGGCAATGTAATATAACATTCAAACCAATTGAACATTCAAAAAATTCAAACTATAACATTTAAATCAATTGAACATTCAAAACAATTTAACATCCAACCCAATGAACCCCATCCACTTTCATTGGCTTGGATAATATATGTTGCCAATCCAAGTCATTGTTTGGCCAGCCACCTTTAAATCTTGTGGGTCCTAAGAAATACCAAATATATGGGATAATAAATTTACACTTGTATCACCCAACATATCCAATCAAAGATTATACTTGCATCCACTTTGGCCAGAATTCATACAAAATTGAAATGAACAAAAAAATATATACTAAAATATGCATATGCGTTCATTTTAAAGGGTGTTTTGACATGCATACTTTAGGGACTAAAAATATTATTAACCATAAAAAATTTATAATCAATATATAATAGTCCAAGCATGATGAATATATCATAATCGAATAATGAGGAAGACATATACTTGGGTCTGGTTATATTTTTTCACCCAAAATACCCATTGCCGAACTACATTTCCTTCAATCAACAAAGAATACAATATTCAGCAAGTGATAGAAAAAATTTATTGCCTCAATCAACTAATTAAACTACTGCACAGAATATAAAGAATGTGCTTACAATGCAAAAATGAAAAGACTATTTTTCCATATGAATTTCATCAAGTTTCACGTGCAAACAAATTGGAAAAAGGTAGTTAAATAAGTTGAATTGCTTTAAGAGCAACAATTTGTGAATACAGACAACTTCACACTATTCATCAGGGTCATGTTCTCACCTAACAAACAACATCCTGAAACTTGAAAATATATACCAATTCTTCTCACCTAATATTCAATTTACTTTAATCTCCACCCAAATAAAAGAAAACAAAGAAGATTAATAACGATTAACGATTATACAGGCTGATCCAAAGCTTCAACCAACCTCCAAAAAAAGAAGAAAGAAGATAAAAGAAGAAGAAAACCCCTAGTGCACCTGGGTTGAGCTTGGTGAGATTGGTGAAAGGGTGTTGAGCGAAAGAGAGGGGGAGAGGGAGATACTTGGGCTAAGGTTGGTGAAAGGGTGTTGATCGCCGCTGGTGTTGGTGTGAACGGTGTGTGCTGCCGCTGAGCCATAGCAGAGGAGTGAGAGGGTTCTGGGTAGAGGGGTCTGGGTAGCAGTGCTGCCACTGTGTTGAGCCATGAGCCAATGCAGAGGAGGTGACTGGTGAACAAGAGAGAGAGAGTAGCTGTAAGGGATTTGGGTAGACTGTAGGAGAGGGTAGCGTGTAGGGGGTAGGTTTGATTTGGGCGGGATTTTTTTTTTATGCGAGATGAAATGTGAGCCTCTAGATTAAGTTAGAAGAATTGAGATGAAATCTGAACCGTCCTTGTGCTTTTCCAAATGAATTTAAATTAAATTAAATTTTCCAGTGAGAAAAAATTCAAATTGGGTTCTATTTTATTATTATAGATATAGTGTTTATTTGTCGAATTAATTATTATTACATTTACGTTCAAGATAAAAAATTTGAATTTTAGTTAGACCCATTTAATATTTCTCTCTCCGAGAACACTGGGAAAAAAAAAGGCACAGATACAATCTGGAGTGGAGATCCTCTGCTGGATCAATCTGCTCCAGCAAAGAAGACAGCAATGAACGACGTCGTTCTAACATAAGAGAGGGCGAGCAAACGACGCCGTTTGGAGCAGATTGGTCCCAAAATGAACGACGTCGTTCGTTTCTGTCTTGCTGTCTTCTTCGCTGGAGCAGATTGGTCTCAAAACGTTGTCGTCCAACTTAACAGCAAAATCTGCTGTTAGAACCCAACAGCAGAGGATCTCCACCCCAATCTGACCCCCGAGGAAACGAGGGTAAGGTAGGGGCCAAAGAGATGAAGCTAACGGCTTCGAACAAGCCACAAGATTCTCCCTATCACATCTCTACCTCTCATCAACACTTCCATATCGTTTCATTGGATAATTCTCAGAGAATATCAAAAACCCATTCTGAGAATTTGTCATATCCAAATGAAAATAAAACATTAGCTCCCCAAGACTACCATGGTATCTTTGCAGTTCGAGTTCTGTTGTCAACAAAGACTGAATCTGAGAGAAACCATTTCAAGAATCGTTTGAAAGCCTTACTTTGGTGGATTGCTTTGATCAATCTAATCCATTGTGATTCCTGTGTAAGTTACACAATTTTGACTGGTGACCTTTATAAAAAATTAAGCTTTGATATGTCATACTGTTGACTTTTGCTTGCATTGGTATGATTTTAAGCAGAAGATGAGAGCTTGGTAAATATATTCCTAGAGTGGATATATTAGGTTATATGACAATGCTGCCCGTTTGTTCAGCCGCCACTAGCTGTTCCCCTCATTCCCAGGTGAGGAGGTTTTAATTTTTTTAAACTCCAATTCAGTTGTTGAGCATAGATTACTTGGTAAGTGCTGTTTAAGAAGTTTCTGTACATGTTTTTTGAGTTATGTTTTACAAGTTGGCGAGAATTTGAACTTGCGAGGTCATTTGAATTGGGTATTAGGAAATTGAAGTAAAAAATTGCTGGAGTCTGCGTGCCTTCTTTTATTTCCAGTTTTTGTGGAAGTTGTTTCCATTTTACCTTCCATGCTTTTTTAATGTTCTGGGATTGCTGTTAATTCTCATTCTTAGAGGAGAAATGTTTTATATGCTAAGATTAGATTGATATGAGTCAATGAAGTGTATTACTGGATGATGGATTCTGGTGGAACATTAACTTTTAGTCAATTGAAGGTGAGTAGAAAACAAAAGAAAAAAGAAAGGACTAGAGGAAAGAAAAAAATGTTTAGTTGTAGAATCTTATATTTGTAGATGTGTTTGTCTGGGACAGAAAGTACCAACAAAGACATTCAGCTTTTCATTTGCTTTGCAATGGAAAAATCAATTTTAAGGATGTTAATCTCTCTTTTAACTTCAATAGTTTGACTAGTTCTATTAAAGTTGTACATCCACTGAGTTGATTATTAACAGTTGAGAGCTTAGTCTGGTGCTAGAGTCCAATCTCCAATCTGTCTACCACCTTACGCATAGCACATGTTGGGATGCAGTACCTTGATGTTTGATTACTTAATTGGTTTTATGAGGAGATTGGTATGAGCTAATTTTGTCAGAACCAAAAATCCTTCTTTATTTCTTATGGTCTATTTGGTAACTATTGTCTGCCCATGCTGAAAACTAGAAAGAATTCACAGAGTTGAAAAGCCAGATTAGGTTATTGCATAAAATTTGTCGTATAAAGGTTGTTAATTTGACAATTGAATGGAGAGCATTGACCCTTTTCCTGTGAAAGGTGAGATGACGGAGTTAGGATATGCAGTCACCTCCGTCCTGGCTTAACTGTTTGTCAGAAGATGCATCTTCCAGAATTATGATGCTCTATCACCTAGGAGAAAATTATGATGCTGTTTGGAACATGAGAAGAATTTGTTGAAAGACTTCCAAAGTCCAAACACTGCGGTTAACATCGTCATCTGCCTGTTCTGTGACTCCCCAATTCCAGGCACTCTGTAAGGGGTGGAGGCCATGCTAAGCATGATTATCTTTTAGAGGAATGCTCATGTTTTTGGGTAAATGAGGAATGCTCATGTTGTTTGTTAAAAGCTGAAACGCTCCAAGATGATTTTTTGTTTTATACAAATCTGAATTCATGTACAATTGGACATTTGTTGATGCTATATGAAACTATGAATCCCGTAGGTTGCTTTGCATGGAGGGTGGCTATCCTTTTCCTCATATCGGAAAACATATGAAGTTAGATGCATTTTGGAAGACAGGGTGAATCTGGGCTTGTCTGATGAAATACATCTTGAAGAATTTTCCCTCAAGAAACAAGCTGTTAAATCTTTCAGTTCTAGGTTTTTTGAAAGCACTGAGCAAACTGGATGCATGGATTTCATTAACCTGTCTTCATACCAAAATGAAGTAGAAGACATTAAATGTGAGTTTCCAAATAAATGGAATAATTCATCGGGTGCAGCAACTGGACATTATGCCATGGGTATGGGAGATCTGCAATTTGTAGAAAGTTCTAGTGTATCCACCGGAAAAGAGGAACTCGTGGACTTTACATATCGATTAACTGAAAATACCAATGCTTTAACAGAGGCTTCTGATCCCCAAACCATGCTACGAATTGATGGTCCAACCTCCGAATCTGATTTGTTGAACACGGATAATGATTCTCTATCCAGTGGGAAAACAAATGTTGAAAATGCTTTTGCTGGGATAAGTGAGTCCGTTAGTGCTTCAGTCAATAAGGCACAAAATGCTCTGAAAAACTCACTTGACACCATTACTTCATCAGTGACATCTGCTTTCAAGGGTGCTAATGAGGCTGTTGATGACGCTGTTAGTAATGTGATATCGGCTGTTGATCAGACAGGAGAATTAGTTCATAAGAGATTGACAGGGTTTTCCAGTGACTTGAAGGATGCCTCAAGTAGAGTGGGTATTATTGCTGTTGATGTGTTGAGGCGTACAATAGTTGCAGTTGAGGATTCTCTGACACAGGGGGCCACCTTTGTTGTTTATGCATATAGTTCTGCAAAGGAGCTGCTTCCTCCAGAGATTCAGAATGTTTTAAATTTGTCAGAAGAAAATGCAGTAAATTTTTTTAGGCCAGCTGGGACAGCTTTTCAACAGGTATATTCAATTTCTTTTTCTAACCTATAGGATATGCTCGGGCCCTGTTGTTTATGGATTATTTGATTACATATGGCTATGACAAATCAGTCAAAAGAGCAAATCTTGGCTTGGCAAACTGAATTACTTGGAATGGTTGAGAATAAATAATTATGGGAATTAGACTTGAACTAAAAGATATCTGGTTGGATCTTTTCTTCTTGGGGGCATTGAGACTTGATCCAATAGAGTCAGAACACATTTCTATCTAAAAGAAATGTGCTTGATGAACTCTATCTAGCTATGGTATTCCTCCAACATCTTTGAACTTCAAAAAATTATTATTGAAACAGGCTATATTCATGTTACTTCACAACTAATTTCATTCAGCCTACATTAGCAGTTTGGTTTTGAGAGATCGTTCATGCTTATCTTGCATGTTGGTATGCAGATTTACATCACATTAGAGGGGTTCGAGAAGAGTCTTGGCTTGGACCCCAATGATCCAGTCGTTCCATTTGTTTTTTTTCTGGGAACATTGGCGACTTTATGGTATGGATTCCCTTCCTCCTTCTTTGTGTTGTTCCTAATAGGAGGAAACGTTATAATGTGGAAATTTATAGTCTATCAGATCTTTGCAGGGGTTCTTATTGGGTATTGACATATGGAGGATATGCTGGAGATTTATCTCCCAAGTTAACTCTGGAGCTCCTGACAGGAATGGAAAATGCAGTACTCATTGATGTCAGACCTGAGGCAAGAGACTGCAAATTTTTCTTGGCTTTTGTTTTGTAAAATGGTCTCTGCCATAAATTCTGATATTTCCATGAATTAGGCTAAAACAAACCTTCTCTTTACGATTTCTCTCTAGCTATTTGAGTTTATGTAAATTATCATAGATATGCCAATATCCTTGGTTCTATTCTTTTTCTTTGTGAAGGTTCTCAGGGAAAAAGATGGCATTCCTGATCTTCGGCGAGCAGCTCGATTTCGATATGTGGATGTAATTCTACCCCAGGTTTTTGACACGGCACAACTACTTATCATCCGTTTCTATAATAGGAAAGAAGTCCATTGTTTTTGTACGGGTGTACGCCTACTTTGTTTGTAATCAAGGATTCATGCAAAAGACGTCCCAAGAAAACGATGCATTATATTGCAACCTATATCCTCTTTATGTGGTATGATATCATATATTCCATAAATTTTTAGGTCGACGGATCTGTGCTGAAGTTATTGAAGAGTGAAAGGGACATTGATGACTTCATGATTGCTGCCGTCATTCAGAACTTGAAAATCGTTCAAGTAGGTAACATTATGTTTGTATTTGACTTTCTACTCTCCGTGTTTTGATGGCATAGAGGGTGCTACATGAAAGTGCATGATCCAATAAATTGTTTTGACAGGACAAACTATCAGCTGAGCTGTGGTCGATAAGACAGAAAATTCGATATTACACAAATATTTTTTTTTTTTCAAAGTTACAATGCTTTGTGCCACTAAAATACCATATAGTCTTAACCCATACTTAAAATCATTAATTAATTACAAAAATCAACCGTAATTGATTATATTTTGTCAGCATTATATTTAATTTGTGTTCTACTGATTTTAGCTCTTTGATGATGCGTTGTGTTCGGATTTTGTCTAGCAGATAGTATTGTGGTGATATCTCTTAATCCAATATGATGGTCAAATAATTAGGCAAAAGTTCAGTTTTGTAAAATGTATGGACGGCTATAAATACTGAAAAGATTCTTTTATGGTGCACTTTTAGCAACCATTTTAGAATATAAACTTTGAAATCGAATGATGTCCCATAACTATGTCGTGACCCCTACTTATAGGACAGAACCAAGGTCATCATCATGGATGCTGATGGTACTCGTTCCAAAGGAATTGCAAGGTCACTGAGGAGACTTGGGGTTAAGGTACGTACAATTCAAATCCTTATTGTTATCTGTATTTGACATGAATTTAACTGTGCTTATAACAAAAACTTGAATGTATTAATTGAATAAAATGTGAAAAATCTAAGAAAGCTTATTTGTTTAGAATGCCTAAGCCTTTAATAAACCTCACAAGCTTTTGAGTTTCTTCTGAAGAAGATTCAGTTATCAAACAGTCAGAGAAATGGTAGAACACACTTCGGTTAATGTATGTCATAAGTTTGTGCAATCCACATGTTTGATGCTAAAAGTAGTGGATTTTTTTTTTTGTTGTGATTTCTAGAATTTTGATGACCTTTGTTTTGGCGTTACATTAATTCTCATCTCCCATTTTTGACTTTCCAGGCAACAGAATAATTTTTGATGTTTTTCCCCAAATCATTGATATGTATAATGACAGTATTAAGTATTTCAGCCATATATAATTTGCCATAATTGATGGACAATGGATCTTAACTTCATTTTTTTGTAAAAAACTTTCATGCAGATGGGGCCCATTTTTATGCAGTACATTTTTATGACAGACATAGGAATGTTCATTGTTTACTAATGTGTATACTCGGAAGAAAAAGTTATGATTGTTCTGACATAACTGTTATTTTTTAATACCACTTCATAAAGCTGCCTAGGAAAACAAAAGCAGATGCTGATTTCATAAATCTGGGTGGTTCTGCACTTGGCATATACGTTTCAATTTAGAACCTGACAGCAACACAGAGGCTGGGGCACAGGACTCATGATGCTAAAGCTGGAAGTGATTGCATAATTAAGCCAGAAAAATCAGAACAAAATTTCTTTTACAGCTATCAATATATTTTTGAAAAAGAATTGTTGCCCGAGATTCCCACATTTTGGATTTCTGTATCAGATGACTAGATGAAAATTTGTACCTTTACCATTTATTTCTTCGCATGGCAGAAACCATATCTAGTCCAAGGTGGCTTTCAGTCTTGGGTAAAGGTGGGTCTGCGAGTTAAGGAGTTGAAACCTGAGACAACGCTTACAATACTCAATGAGGTATATGACACTGCTCTTCGATTCTTGGGCTGCTATGTCTACCTGGCAATTTTATCCATTTGATGATATCAATTTTTTATTGTTGGGAACTCCATGTGAAGGATGGAATTTGACTCATTAGAGACATGGTTTATACTGTATACTTTTCTTTGAAACTGTAAACTTTGGAACTTAGTTCAATATGTTTCTTGCATTATATATTTAAACATCATATATGTTAAGATTTTTTATTTTATATGTTAGACATAAGTTAGTTTGTGTAGGGTAATATTGTAATTACTCTAATGTTACATATTTATAAATAAGAGAGGGTAGGGAAACCTAAATCTATAGTCTATATAATAGATTATTCTCTTTCTCTTCTTCTCCGCTCTCCTTTCTTACAAATCCTAATTCTGTTTTTATAATTTTAACTTGGTATTTAAGTATTTTTTTTTATTTTTTAGGCAAAAAAAACCCATAAGAAAAAAATAAAAATCAGCCGTTGGTCATTGTTGAAGTCAGCATTCTGACGCTGATGTCTTCGTTGGTGAATTTCTGGTGACAAAAGTCTACTACCATGGTTGATATTTTGCCCACTTCTTTATGGTGATTTTTGAATTTTTTTTTGAAGCCATCCAGGTAAGGTTTTCTATTTTTGAATGTTTTTTGGAAAATCAGACCCGATTTCTAGATCTGCGAATTTGGGGCATTTTTCTTTGGTTTGTTGCTTGGATCTGCTGCCTATGGTGCTGATTTGGACTTGAGAACAGCCTCTTAGGTTGCCCGGCTAATTTAGGCTGGTTTGGATGTGTTTTTGTGGCTGATTGGGTTTTGGCTATTGCCTTTTTTCAATGAATAGTGCTGAACTGTTCCAGGTCTTTTGGTTTTATTTATTTTTGGCCTTTGTGTGTCCTCTAAGGCCTGCTGTGTGGTTTGTCTTCACTACCCAGCTATCTTCGACTGGTTTGGATGTGTTTTTGTGGTTGATTTGGGTTTCAGCTACTATTATTTCTTCATTGAACATTATTGAAATTGTTCCGGGTTCTGGTTTGTGCTTGGGTTGTGATTGCTGATTTGTGGTGGCTTTTTAGATCAGTTCTCTGGCTGTTTAATGCATATCTGTGATGGCTTCACGATTTTGAGGCATCCAATCCTATTTGGTGGTTGTTTTGTTGCGTGGAGTGTTTGATTAAGTGTTGGCACCGTTTTTGGTTCCTTGTTGGGTTTTTTTTGGTGATTTAATGCTTTTGAGTTGTCATCTATGATTTCCAGACGTGGTTTGGGTGATTGTTGTGTGATTTGAGATTGAAATCCAAACTCGACATTCACAATTGGAGATTGCTTTGTTTGTTGGTTCGATCTTGCCCAATTTATTGCAGGTTTTCCATGGCTACTTTGAGTGGTAGATGTGATGGTAGTTCTGGTCGTGGTCATCATTTTGAATGCAACTGTACTTATTGTGGTCGCACAAGACATATTGAGTCTTATTGTTGGGATAAATATGGTAGACCAACTTATGCAAATTAGGCTCTTAAGGATACTTCGAGCTCTCTACTACATCAGAGATCAGACTTCTACAAATGGTCCAATTACATCTACTACAGATTTTTATGATGATCTTTCTTCTTAGCTTCGTAAGCTCAACCAACAATTATCTTCACTTTCTCTATATTTTTCTATTCCAATTATTTGTCTTTCTAACGAAGGTAACTCTGCATGTACGGTTGCTTAACCTTCTTTGTCAATTTGGATCATTGATTCAAGGGCTAGTGCTCATATGTCTGGTATGTGTTCCTTATTCTCTAATTTTCGTTCATCTAATTAACACAATGTGTTAGTTGATCGGTCATTTTGATAATTTCTGATTTGTTTGTTCCTAATTTTTCCTTTAACTTGTTATTTATGAGCCAACTTATTAAGTTATTACTGTGTTTTGTAACATTCTTTGCACCTTCTTGTATTTTTTAGGACCTTAATACAAGGAAGGTGATTGGTTTAAGGCATGAGAAAAATGACCTTTCTTACTTAGATCCTGGTGGCTCTATTCCTGCCTTGAGTGCTACCAGGTTTCCTCTTTAGTGGCACTTTCGATTGGGTCATCCCTTATTTCAAAAGTTGTGACAAGTTATTCTTGGTTTGAGTCCTTTTGTTAGAATGTGAAACTTGTCAATTATGCAAGCATCATTGTAGTTCTTTTCTTCCTAGCTCTTCAAGTTCTCAGTCTAGTCAGCTTCATATCGTTCATATAGACATTTGGGGTCCTACACGAGTGAAAAATATTTTGGATTTCAGTATTTCGTGATATTTGTTGATGATTTCTCTTGTATGATTTGACTATTTCTTTGAAAAATCATTCTGAGTTATCCAAGGTCTTTACCACATTTTATAATGAAATTCTGACTCAGTTTGCTGTTTATATTAAAGTTTTTCAATCTGACTGTGCCATTGATATACTCAATTATTTATGAAAAACTTTTGTGTTGACCATGACATTATTCATCAAGTCACTTGTCCTCATACTTCCTAACAAAATGACGCTGTCGAATGTAAATATCGTTATTTATTAGATGTTGCTTGTACCGTCATATTTAACATGCATGTTTCTAATCCTTATTGGGGAGATGTTATTTTTACTGCAATCTATCGTATTAATCAGATGCCTTCTCCAATCTTAGGTAACAAATCTCTGTTTTCCTTGCTCTATCATGATACATCACCCTTTGGTTTGACTTCTCGTGTATTTGGTTGTGTTGCATTTGTTCATCTTCTTGGTCTAGGTCGAGATATACTTTCAACTCGTTCGTATAAGTGTGTCTTTTTTGGAATACTCTCGTACTCGGAAAGGTTATCGTTGTTGTGACCCTGTCTCTCTTAGGTATTATGTCAGTGTCGATGTCACCTTTTTTGAGTCAATTTCCTTTTGTTCTAATACAAGAACTACTTTTTCACCAGATTTTATCTTTACTAGTCAAGGGGAATTGATAATACCTCTTTTACCTAATGATGTATCTTCTCCCTCTCCAGTTATTGATCCTCCATTACAGGTCTACCATGGTTCCACAAATAGATAGGTTGTTCCATATGCTTCAGCGCCTTAACCAATACTTGATTCCTCTAAGGTCCTTTCTCTAGAGTCACCTGATTTGTCTATTACATTGCGGAAAGGTACTCGTACGTGTATCTAACATCCCATTTTTAATTTTGTCTCTTTGCATCGACTTTCCTCTTCATTTCGCTGTTTTGCATCCACCTTTCCTAGCTCTTTGAAATAGGCATTAACATCTCTTGGATAGAAACTCACTATGGATGAGAAAATTAAAGCACTTCATGAAAATCATGCTTGAGACCTTAGTTCTCTTCCGTTTGGGATCCAACCTATTAGTTGTTTTTAGGTGTACACTGTGAAATATCATCTTGATGGTTCTATTGAATAGTTGAAGGCACGTTTGGTTGCTAAAAGATATATTCAAACCTATAGTGTGGATTATTGTGAGAGCTTTGTTAGAGTTCTTATTTTTGTTATAGTCAGTTATGACTGTCCCTTGTATTAACTGGACATAAAGAATGCATTCTTGCATGGAAATTTATGTGAGGAGGTATATATGTAAACATTATTATTGTTATTGTGTATGTCGATGACATCATCATAAGTATGAATGACTCAAATGGTATTGCTCACTTCAAGACTTATTTAGGGAAGTAGTTTCAAAGGAGGGATTAGTTTATGCCAATGAAAGTATGAACTAGACTTACTATCTGAAACATGTACTCTTAGTGCACGTCTGATTGGTACGCCGATGGACTTTATTGTTAAGCTAGATCTTGAGAGTGGAGAAGTCTTTGGTGATAGAAGGCGATGTCGACGATTGGTTGGTGTTTGGTAAACTGATTTTATAGTTATACTCCCTGATATCACATATGCTATTGGTGTTGTTAGTCAATACATACATGCCCCTCATAAGCCTCATTGGGAGTATGTCTGTCGTATATTTCAGTATTTGAAAGAGGTTATGGGGAAGGGTTTATTATATTATTCATCATCATTCATAGCTGTTGTTGGTTTTATGATGCTGATTGGGCTGATAGTCATGGTGATAGACGATCTACGTCTGGGTATTGCACATTTGTTGGTGGTAATTTGTTACTTGGCGTAGTAAGAAGTAGAATGTGGTTGCATTTTCTAGTGCAGAGGCAGAGTATTGTGCTATGATACATATTTCTTGTGAGATGTTATGGGTCCATTCTTTACTCTGTGATATGGGACTCGATGTGTATTTCCCAATGAATATGCACTGTGATAATGAAGCAGCTATTTTCATTGTAAGTAATCCAGTATTTCATAAGTGAATCAAACACATTGAGGTGGATTGTCATTTTATTCGATATCTCTTGATGCGAAAGGAGATCATCACTTCAAGTCTGGTGATTAGCCGGGTGATATTGTTACTAAGCCATTGGCACCGTCTTTGTGTTCCAAGCTGGATATTTTTGATCTGTATGCTCCAGTTTGAGGGGGAATGTTAGAGTTCTTATTTTATATATTACACGAGTTAGTTTGTGTTGAGTAATATTGTAATTACTTTAATATTACACAGTTATAAATACGATAGTGTAGGTCAACCTAATATTACACAAATTATTCTCGTTTTCTTCTTCTCCTTTTCTTACAAATCCTAATTTTGTTTCTACATTTTCAACTATATACATTTGAATTTCTTGTATTGTCAAACATTAACAAGAGAATTTTTGTAGTCCATTTAGAACAAGTTCAAATTGGGTGAAATCCCCATGTGTGATACTATTTGACCTCAGAATTCCATTTTATAAATATCTTCAATTATCTTGTTTTTATATTTAAAACATTAATAAGACAAAGCAAACCATATACGATAAGCATTGAAACCAAGTTGGACCACAGGTTGCTTGAAGTGGTTTTTACATATCTATTGCAATCCGAAGAAGCAGGATGAAATTATGCCAAAAAGTAGAAGTGCTGCTCTCTCTGAGAGCATTTATGAACAAAACTTCTGAGTTGGCATACTCAAATTATATTTGATTAAAGCAATTTTCTTGTATGAAAC